CGTCATCAGAAGTTCCGGAAACATCAAACGAGCTAGCCCATAAAGGCATAGACTACAGACTAGTGCAGGAAGCGTGTTTGTCTATTTTTAGCCGGGTGCAGTCAGTTAGCATTGACCTAGACCGTAGATCTAGCTGTGATTTGCTGACACCATGTTAGGCTGAAAGATGCGGACATTTCTCTACTCGTCACTTGTAGAGACTGTGAGGGAATTCTTTCGCTCGCAATTTTTATTTCGTTGCTGTAAAACTAATACGTTAAGATTTAGCTATAGTCTGGTCTGTGAGCACGTAGAATTTTGTCCAATGACCCCAAGCTACCTAATTATGTTGCTGTCGCGCTCGCACACTCACTGCGGGAGCCCGTCGCAAAGTCGCGACAGCAATATAATTACGCGCGAGCGACAAGGATGGGTAACTTTGGGTCATTGGACAAAATTCTACGTGCTCACAGACCGGGCTTTAGTGGGATCTAAAAACTCGGTTGAGGTTGCGGTGATTTGGTTGTCAAAATAGTTCTTTTGCCCAGCTCTTTTTTATCGTAATGTTCGTTCGTTCGTTTCAGCCAAATGACGTCCACTGCTGGACAAAGGCCTCCACAAAGACTGGTCCTACGCTGCCCGCATCCAGGCATCTGCGCAACCTTCACCAGATTGTCGGTCCACCTAGTGGGGGGCTTGCCCACACTACGTCTTCCGGCAAAATTCCGGCTAAATGTAAGGCCCAAAAACAAAGTTGGTTTGGTAGCAGCAGTTGGAGAATAAACCTCCTTCTGGCGCAGTCAGGTAAAAATAGCTGAACAATATTCTGGATTTTGATGTAGAACCAAGCAATGGATGGACTGTCCTTGAAATATAGGACTAATGGTCAACCTACCGAATGACGCTCGCTCGGTTGGGGCGGCTTTGTATGGGTCATTCTAAGTTAAGAGGTAATGTGTTGTATGGAGCGACGGCACGGCATTTTTTTAAATATTTTTACTTAAGTATACATCTGTTTTATGGAAACCTTTAAGTTGAAAATGTTTACAAAGTGGCCAGTCAATTTTTTGGTTTTTTCTCGTTTTATAAGCGACCAGGGTAAATACTCAGTCCAGGGTAGAGACAAGGTGCACACGGGAGGATACTTTATGGACAGGGAAGAGACATAGACATACTAAAAACAGTGTATTTTTAGGAATTAACTTTATTTATTTATTTTAATTTTAATTATGAATTATTTATAATCAGACTTTTCATTTTTTAGCAAACTTTGTTAACAAAAATGTATTTTAAGCCTAGGTACAAAACATAAAAAGCNTGAGCATGTAGAAGACATTTAGTTTTAAGTAATAAATAGGTTAATTAGGAAATTAGAATAAAAAAAAGGTACTTTTTTGCCCTTGCCATCGAAAGTACCTCTTAACTTAGAATGACCCGTATGTAAAGTAAGATTTAGGGTGCCCTTTAGACATCAAGGTTGTTAAAAACCTGCTCGATGATATTATAATTCAAGTGTTCACATAATATTTGAGCTAACTTACTTAAAATACTTTTCAAACAGTAGAATGGGAATTTAGTGAAATGAACCTTATAGCCTTATTTAAAGAAAATTTAAATTAGTATGCGGTTTCGCCCGAAAGCATTTCGAACAATAAACATTTTAAAAAATCTCAAATTTTTTTGGCTGTTTTTACTTCAAAAGTACAAAAATCACAGACTTTAGAATTTCGTTATTAGTGTCATCAGATTAGATCATCAAATTGGCAGTAACGATGACCAATAACTAACCCACTTGTTAACCCAAAAATCTACTTAATTACAATGAAACTAATTGTTTTAACTCGGAGCTCATATTATCAAGTATAACAAGTACTAAAGTACAAATTTATTGCTGCGAATGAGGGCATTGTTGCCACAGTAACGTGATACGCATGACACATACAGGATTACGGACGTACTTGCATTATTGCAATATTGTAGAACTTGTTAGACCGGTTGAGAAGATATTGTTACGTTGCAGATGTGTTACGTGAAGTTTTGTATCGTGTTTCACGTTAGATACATCTAGTTATTTACTCTTTATTAGAAAACTAGCTGACCCGGCGAACTTTGTTCCGCCTTAATGGCAATAAATAAGCAGAATTTTTTTTATTTCAAACGGGATAAAAAGTATCCTATGTCCTTCTCCTGGCTCTAAACTACCTCCCTGACAATTTTCAGCTAAATTGGTTCAGCCGTTCTTGAGTTATAAGTGGAGTAACTAACACGACTTTCTTTTATATAATAGACTAGCTGACCCGGCGAACTTTGTTCCGCCTTAATGGCAATAAATAAGCAGACTTTTTTTTATTTCGAACGGGATAAAAAGTATCCTATGTCCTTCTCCTGGCTCTAGGATGGAGGTACCCTGACAATTTTCAGCTAAATCGGTTCAGCCGTTCTTGAGTTATAAGCGAAGTAACTTTTTTTTTTTTTTTTATGTATTTTCTGCTCTATGGCAATCTGTTCGAAAACAATAAGCCACTTGTTTGGCTGGAGCTACATGTCCTGAGTTTTATGTTGTCTTCGAGAGCCAATCAATTGCTGAACTTTTTCCAGCAAACTCTCTTCCTGGCTCAGTCTACAAATCTTTGGGCGAGACTGGGAATGCCTTGTCTTTTCAGTCGATTGTACTGTAGTCCACCTTCTCCACTTAAGGCCTGTGCGAGTTCGTTTGCATGAGTTTCCAGTTTCTCCTGGTATTTCAGGCTTGCCTGTACTATTTCCTCACGAACAGTGTTCATGCCTAGGTCAAGATACATGTACTTGTTGCTAATACATTGGGGTACGCCGAGCATGGTTCTAAGTGCTTTACTTTGAAATCTCTCCAGTATGTCGATGTTACTCTTGCTAGCTGTTCCCCATAACTGTATCCCGTAAGTCCAGATAGGTTTCAAAGTTGCTTTGTATACCAAGACCTTGCTGGTGCTGTTCAGTTGCGAGCTTCGTCCGATCAACCAGTTAAGACCACGAAGTTTTCCATCTAGTTGTTTTCTTTTAGCCCAGATGTGCTTCTGCCATGTGAGCCTTCTATCCAGGTGCATTCCCAGGTATTTTGCATTATCTGTCTGAGGTATTTCGTTGTTATTTAGATTGACCGGAGGACAAGTGTCTCTCCTAAGGGTAAAGGTCACATGAGCAGATGAATTGTAGAATTAACGTTCAGAATTACCGGAGTGTGATTCGAGGTAAGATCGGTACAGGACTCAATTGTTATGTAGTTACCATCCAAGTTTTTTGTTATGAAAAAGTCCAGCATGTCAGGTATTCTACATCTATCAGTAGGCCAGTAAGTGGGTTCTCCTCCAGACCAGTAATCCAGTTTCATGTCTTGTGTTACTATGTGAAGTTGCCGTCCCCTTGAAGTAGTCAACCTGGAGCCCCAGTTCAGATGTTTTGCATTCCAGTCGCCAGCACTTACAAATCTTGTACCAAGAGTAGTGAAGTAATCTTTGAAATCTTGAACTGAGACTGTATGTCTGGGGGGACAGTAGACAGCAGAGAATACTGTCTCATTGTGTTTTTCAAGGACAACTATGGTTGTGGCCTGAATTTTCTCTGTGCGGTATTCTTCCATCAGATAGTGTTTGATATTATTTTTAATGATAACTGCACTTCCTCCGTGACTGTTTCCGGAGGGATGGTTTGTAGTATAGATTTTGTAGTAGTTAAAAGCGATGTGAGACTTAGATGTGAGTCTAGTTATAAGCGAAGTAACTAACACGACTTTCTTTTATATATATAGATAGTGACAATCACAAGAGATACAGAGTTAAAATGATGCAATTTTGGTTTTATCGATAGAAAATGATCTTTTCCAGACAATCCTGTACAGATTTATGATATTTTTTTATTAAATAGACAGAAAATTACATTTGTGATAGATAGATCATCTCTTACACCATGTTATTGAACAAATAAATATTTTCATTGAAAGAATTAAGTTGCTTTTTTGTTGGAAGTTAGATTTTAGCTATTAGAAACTAATTAAATTAATTGAAATGAGTGTTATTATTTCAAATCATGATGCAATGATTAGAAAATTGAAAACATTTCAAAAGATCTTAAGGCTTGAGAAAATCCTGGAAAACAACATCGGGTAAGCTAATATTTAATAACTACTGAAAATAGGAACTTTTTGTAGAATTTAATTAATATGTTGTCTTTTAATTAGTTGTGCCAACTTTGGATCAGCAAAAAACAATGTTTTTTGATTCTTATGCCAAAAATTAATTTCCAAACTAAATTCCCATATGGTGTGTTGTTTCAAAAATTACAGTTGAAACAGTTGCGTGTGTAAAACAAGCTGTATAAACATTATCAAGTCAAATCAATTCAATGACCCAATTTGAACAATGTGTACACAAATGCATTCAAGTCAGTAGTATGTCACTCAGTACCAGTACACTAAAACAACATTTTATTTATTGTCTTTACTAATGCCCGTTATAATTTTGTTACAAAACCTTACAATAAATTAGTTAAAATCATTTTTATTTAAAGTGTCTTTTAAAATAATTTTTTGAATCTCTTATTTAAAATAAACACATTAGAGAAACTCATAACTGTAATTCTATAGTGCAACCTAGGGTTATGTGATAGAAAACCATTTAATTTTGCAAATGTAAGTTAAAGCAAAAACTAGTACAACAAGGATACTATTTTATTGTGTGCCGATAGCAACGTTTTAAAAGGCGTAATTAAATATTTAACGTCATGTATACGCACGACTGAAGTAAAGTTACATCTTTGTTGTTTTTTCCAATATGAGTACATGTTTCTAGAAAACTCCGGCTAAAATTATAAGCAACATTTAAGGCAGCTGCTTAGTAGGTATATAGCAAAAAACTGTAATTATGTGATAGAAGACCACAAAAACAATAATTTTCAATGACCGACGACCTTGAAAATGACCTGTATTTTGCGCCATAAAAACACATCTTAATTATAACTTAGCATAAATAAAATAAGTAGAAACTTACCAAAATCTATAAACTGCTTTATAGAGAGCGGCGAAGGATTAAATTGGGAATAAAAGTCCAGCATTTTGGTCACATTGCTGAAAATGGCCCCTGCCAACCTCATTTTGGAATAAATTGCAGAAAATCGCGGAAACTACTTATATAAAATTAAATTTTGTATGTGTAATCAACACAAATTCACAGTTCGATTACGAAACACATCTCTGCTTGATAAAACCACAAAATAAACTAGATTTTTGCGACGCGCCGGCAAAAACCTCCTTCCACTTGCAGAAATAGCAACTGACTGATTTGTTTTTTAATTTCATTCACGGTCACAGCAACATAGATAGACAGTAGACGTTGGAAGGAGTTGGAACGTTTGTCGTCACAAAATACGTCACAAAAAGTAAATAAAACCGGATGCGTATAACGAAACGTATTTTGGAAAAAATAATTTGACGTTCATTTGACACTTTCCCTATTGTTTCCGGCGCAGAATTTGAAAATTTCGAATATTTTGTTTTGAAAAATGCGTGATTATTTTTAGATTCATGATAAAAATTTCAAGACTTTTCATCAACGAAAGAAGAATATTTTCCTTTAACCTAATTAGAAACGTAAACGTAAGTTCAATGCCCTATTATCACTCTTTCTTTGTACATAGATAACTATTTGCTAAAGTATTTTAGTTCCATCGAAAATGTCATTTCCTTCACTGGGCTTGTTTTTTGGTAGTTTAGTTTTTACTTTGTTTGCTTATTTTAGCCTAAGTTTAAATAATCAAGATCAAGGTGACCATTTCACAAAGGTGCGTATGCTTGGTTTAATTCTTTTCCAGTTCAACCAACTGTTTTCCAATAAAATTCCATTTCAAGTATACTTTTCTTTGTGTACCAACCTATAATAACAAACTATTCTATCCAATTTCTAAAAGCTACATTACAAATTATATTATACATGTATTTTATACTCGGTTCAATCATCATCACATCACAATATTTCATTGTCTTACTTTGAAGCTTTGAACTTCTAATTTCTTTTATTTGTCAGTTTTGTGTGGTATACACTAAAGCTGAGTTGCACCACCTAACTTTAACTGTAACTATAACGATAACCGGTGCTTTTTGTATGGAGTTTGACAGATTTTTGATGTTTGCTAAAGTTAAAGTAAGATGGTGCAACCCATTCTAAGTAAAGAGTTATAAAATTATCTAAACTATGGCAAATGTTAAATACCCAAAAAAAGTTCTTTCTTTAAATTCCAGATGAACCACAAAGTGTTTGTATACGGAACACTGAAACGCAACGAGCCCAACCACCACTGGCTTGCGAACCGTGAGAACGGCTACGGCAAGTATGTAGCGGACGGAGTGACCAAAACCAAGTATCCGTTGATCATTGCAACTCGGTACAACATTCCGTTCCTGCTGTATAGCCCTGGAGATGGGCACAATGTCCGAGGTACCTATTTATGTGTTTATACTTTTTGATTGTTTTATTTGCATCTTTGCATGAAAGTTTAGCTATTTAGTACCTAAACATATAATGATGTTGGCTTAGTGGTGACAAAATAACATGATCCTCATATCTTATTATTGTACATTATCTTGATAACTTGATATTTATCTTATTTTTATGGTATTATGATATAAAAAGTTATTTTTGAAATGTAATTTTTATATCCTTGACTGGCATGTTAAAAACTAGTGAGCTTCTTGTTACTGTACTTATTTTGTTTTTTTATTTTCAAAGGCTAAAAATAGAATTTTCATACAAAAAATAAATAAAAATTAAATAGTGTTGTTTGTAAGTAATGAAATGGCATAAATATCACATGAAATATCAAGTGACATTTTATGTAGATCATTGTGTTATATTCTTCATTAAATTAAAACTATCGACGAGTATTGCCAAGAACAAAAAAGAAGAAGAAGAAATTAAAACTATTTTAATTAATTCTATCGCATTAGGTTTTAAGTACCTGTAAAGATAGTGTAAATGTGTGTGGAAATAAATAAATAACCTTTAAACATTTACTTTATTTTTACTTTATAGGAGAAATCTACCAAGTAGATGATGACATGCTTAGCAAGTTGGATATTTTGGAAGATCATCCTTCGTACTACGTTAGAGAACTAGATGATATCACTGTGGTGGGGAAAGGGTGAGTTTTATTGTATTTTTAACCGACTTAAAAAAAAGGAGAAAGTTCTCAATTCGAGTTATTCAGTTACGAGGGCTGCACTAAAAGTATCGGGAATGGAATATTTCCACTGTTCCAGTCATATTAAAATGTATTTAATTGCAAACTCCAGGGTTTTAAAAATCAGATACCATTTATTTATTTAAAAAAAGAATCTCGGTCGTATCACAAGGTCTTGTCAAACTTGTTTAGTCGTTGAGAAAATGGAATCGACTCGAGAAAATTCAAGAGCGATGATTTATTATGACTTTTGAAGTGGTTTAACACAAAAACAGTGAGTTGACCGGATGATTTCTGCATTTGGTAATGAAGCCCTATCCAAAACCACAATTTATCGCTGGTTTCCTGAATTTCAATGTGGACGTGTCAAGCTCAGTGATGATCCCCGTCAAGGTCGTCCAAAAACTGCAGTCACCTAAGAAAACGTTGATGCTGTGCGTAAGCTGATTGAAGAAGATCGACATGTGATATACCGCGAAATTCAGGCAACTTTAGACATTGGCATGAGTCAAATACAAATAATCTTGCATGAACAATTAGGTGTAAAAAAGTTGTTTTCCCGATGGATACCGCATTCGCTCTGTGAAGAGCAAAAAGCGGCTCGCGTTACTTGGTGCGTCAGAACTCTCGGGAGATTACATGCAGGATCCTCAAATGCTGTATACAACATCGTATCAGGTGACGAATCATGGATATACGCGTACGAACCCGAAACAAAAAACCAGTCACGAGTTTGGGTGTTCGAAAATGAATTAAAGCCAACAAAAATTGTTCGTTCACGGAGTGTTGCAAAAAAAATGGTGGCCACGTTTGTCTCCAAAACCGGCCATGTTGCGACTATTCCTCTTGGGGGACAAAGAACGGTTAATGCAGATTAGTATGCTAGCATTTGTTTGCCACAGGTCGTTTCTGAACTCCGTAAAGAGAACTGCAACCGCCGCATCATCCTCCATCACGACAATGCGAGTTCTCACACCGCGCACTGAACAAAAGAGTTTTTAGAGCAAGAAAACATAGAATTATTAGTCCATCCGCCGTACAGCCCCGACCTAAGCCCTAATGATTTCTATACTTTCCCTAAAATAAAGAATAAATTGCGTGGTCAGAGATTTTCATCACCTGAAGAAGCTGTGGAAGCCTACAAAACGGCCATTTTGGAGACCCAAACTTCCGAATGCAATGGTTGCTTCAATGATTGGTTTCGTGTATGGAAAAATGTGTCAAATTTTGCGGAGAATACTTTAAAAAGCAATAAATACATTTTTAAATAGTAATGTTGTTTCACTTCCTTGATTCCCGAAATTTTCAGTGCCGCCCTCGTATTATAATATGATGAAGACATATTAAACAGTTTTTTTTTACTTTACAACATTAAAAAAAAAACCTTTTCAGTGAGGTTCCCGAAGTGAAAGAGATGAAATGCTGGGTGTATTTCCTGAAAAAGTTCAAGCAAGACCTGATGACGCGGCCTCTTCTGGAGGTGTACTCGTCGAGAGGCGGTCACGGGCTGCCCTACATGGAAAGGTCCAAAAGAGATCCTAATTACGATTATAAGCCCGAGGTTATGACTAAGTAACTCTGCCCGAAGCTATTCTCTGCGTAAAAAATTGCAAAGATTAGCTTAATGAAAAATCTTCCAGGATTTTTCAACCGACTTCAAAAAAGGAGGAGGTTCTCAATTCGACCCGTATTTTTTTTTTTCTATGTTTGTTACGCGATAACTCCGCCAATTATGAACCGATTTGAACAAATCTTTTTTCGGCGTATAGGTAATACCTCAAGGGTGGTCCCATTTAAATTTAATAATAGAAAAAACAACCCCCAAGGGTGGAAAATTGGGGATGAACTTTTTTATACGCAATATCTCCGCCGATTATAAATCAATTTGAACGATTATTTTTTTGTTGAATAGGTATTATCAAAAGGGTGGTTTCATGCGAATTTGAAGAAAATATTTCACCCCCAAGGGTGGAAAATTGGGGATGAACTTTTTTATACGCAATATTTTTAATTTTTAGTTTTTTTTTTGTGTTCACGCATTTGAAGTCGGTTTTATTTTTTTTTAAAGTTATTCACTATTTAATCAAAAGTAGAAATACTTTTGTATTTTGATCTGATTTTATAATGTTTTCTTGTTCTAATAAGACATAGAAGAACTCAAATTAATATTAAGTCACAATTTTTAACTTGCTTTTTCCAACATTTCAGATTATCGAAAAAGACTAACTCTGATGAATTTATGTCCATTGTGCGATGAAAAGAAAAGAAGGAAACTAAAATACTACTTTTCTTAAATTATTGTATTTTGAAATAACGGTGTACTTTGTCCTTTTTGTTACGATAAATATGTAAACTTCCAAGTTAAAGCTGCGCAGGGAGGTTAGTATGTTTCTAAATCTTTCTTTTTCTTTTTTTACAGCAACAATGAGTCTACTATAGATGATCTGGATGATGTATTCCCAAAAAAATAAGACTTGATTTTATTTACTTAAAAAATTTAATCATGTTTCTATATTTCACTCATTTATTGTTCCTTTTAATTACGTAGTATGTGTATGTACCTTAAGAATAGTATTAGATTGTCTCAAAATACCTATAACTTTATTAAATTGTCAATTATTAATCCTTGTAATTTGTTAGTTAAATATACAACTGAAAAAATTATTGTATTTTTATTTGTTCTTTTAATTGAATCTTGTTTATAGAAAAATACGAAATATCATTAAAATCCACTGAGTAATGGCTCTATAAGGAATGCGCAAGTTCACACAGTGGGCTAAGGAAAGATTATATACTACGTTACTAATAACGTGATCCACATGAAAATCATGTGATTCATATTACACACTAGGTAGAGGTAGGCATTGGGTGATATGTGATTGTGAACTACCATCATCACTATAACTGTCAGTGTCAAGTCAACCAAGTGTCATAATTTGACATATCAACAAAAACCATGTGGTTGTTGTTCAGGTTATTTTTAAAGTAATTAATTATAATAATAATAGCTAAAATCAATTAATTTATTGTTTGAGGAACGAAGAAAAACAAAAAATGAATTTTGCAAGGAAACAGTTGGAAAAATATGGCTGGACCGATGGTAAATACCACAGTGTTTCGTAAAATTTTGTGTGCTACTTCTTACGAAGTTTTTCTTGATAAATCTAGTGTTTTGTCCCAGGTAAAGGGCTGGGGAAGCACGAGAATGGTATATCCGAAGCTCTAAAGCCCAAATTGAAGCGCAGCGTGGCTGGAATAGGCCACGATGCGGCGTCTGACTTCACTGAACATTGGTGGACGAAGTTGTATGACAAGGCAGCTGGGAACGTCGAGGTAAGGTTCTACAACTTTTTACAGAAGTGAGAATTTAATAGTTACTGTCATTGTCTTCTGAATGAAAATGCTGAATTATTGATTTGATTGAACCTACTTATCTACTTTATTCCACTTCTGTACTAAAGCCATCCTTGTAAGCCACTGAGCCCTATTCTAGGCTTTTATGTTCCAATTATTATTAATGTTAAGAAGTAATATTTATTCTGTTCTAACAGAAACTTAGCTTTGTACTAACATTAAAATATAAAATTTCAGGTTGAAGAAAAAAACGGCAAAACGAAAAAAATAAAAACAAAAGAAGACGAGTTTGAGATCACAAACAGCACATGGAAACTAAAAAAGAAGAAAAAGCAATCGGACACAGAAGAAGAACAGTACAAAGATTACTTTGTAAGAAAAGCTGTGCTGTCTGGCGGAGGTAGTACCGTAAGGAATGTGAATGATTCAGAGTCCGAAGACGAGACAGCAGTTACGAAAGATGTGTTCAAGATGACGGATGAGGAGCTATTTGCTGCTTGTGAAGGAAGAACTGCACATAAGTATGTTTACCTTTCTTATTTATTAAAAAATTAATTGCACATAACATGACAGTACAAAAGGTAAATTAATGCCATAGCACAGTAGAGCATTGTCTACCAGTTAACCTTTAGGCCAAATAGAGAATTGTGGTCAAATACCTGCCTTGTTATACAAAAATTAAGGATTGCACTAAGTCTGACATCTAAGGAGCTCAATGGCAAAATTACAATAAAGAGGCAGTAGTATAATATTTATTTGCTAAAAATAATGACCACACATCAAAAATTAAGGGCTATGTTAATCAGAACATTTTTACTAATAAATTAATCCTTTTACAGGGGTGCAAGACATGGGCTCAAAGCTACAGGGAAATTGGCCAGAATAGCCCAGCAAGAACAGATTTTACTGACTCAACCTCAATACACTGGATACTCTCATGCTAAAAAACTAAAGAAAAACAATGAAGTACAAGATAATGAAGAATCAAACCCAAATCCCGATGTAGATAGTAGTATTGAAGCAAAAAAGAAGAAGAAAAGAAAAAGAAAATTAAATAACAGTGACAATAAAAATTGTGATGAAAATGCACAAGTTGAATATTCCTCATCTCCTTTGCCAGAGGATGACGAAAAAAGCAAGCAAGATAATGTTGCCAGTGATAAAAATGAGGATGAGATTAGTACAAGTGCGAATTCAGTTGAAGATATTGTTGAAGTTAAGAGGAAAAAGAAAAAATCGAAGAACTTAGCCAATGATACGAATACGAACGAACAAGAAATTGTTGATGATAGTGAAGAGACCCCAATTCGTAAAAGGAAAAAGAAGAAAAAAAATGCTTCAGAATAAGTCAATTATTTGAAAATCTATTGATTAGTTAAAATAATAGTGACAAAATATACATTTGATATCCTATTATTTGTATTTTATTCACACAAAAGTCAAATAAAGGTAACTATACAGGGTGTTAGGTAAATGGGTATATGAGCCGACACTAGCCCATGTTAACATGGGCATATAAATGGTATAGCCTGACCAGGAACATAAAAACCCTCGCCATGTTGCGGAAAATTAATGGTACTAATTTCTTTTAATGGCAACAGTAACTGAAAACTTCATTGACATGTCACCTTGCATGTCAGTCTATTGCTGTCAAAGTGTAAACAAACTTTATTTTAAATGTGCGCAATTGATTTTGTGAATTAAATTGCTAAAATCTTTTTATAGTCGTGAAAGAAAAGTGGTTCACAATGTGTTAAAGTATTTGTCGAAGAGAAATACTATGGGTTCGGACAATATTTTCATTGAATAATGTTTCCGACAAAGGTTGTCAAATTGACTGACATGTTTATCGTATAGTACAGTCAACTATGAAAATTAGCTGTGGTTTGTTTCAACTACCTATTTTAAAGTTTTTTGTCACTTTGTAAGTATTGAATTTTATGGAATTGGGAAAGAAGTACCGAGTTTGAAGCGTTCATGAGCAGACATTGTAGTTGAATATTCAAGTTCAGAATTTGATTATTGATGAATAATAATAAAATCCTACTTGCTCGATTGATGGTTTCATTTAATTTATTTAAACCAGTTTACCTTTAATATAATATGTTTTTGTTAATTTATGAAAATATTAAATTAGCCTATAATCCTGAATCCTGATACATAAAGTTAGCCTATTAATTTAATACAGGTACGACTGTACCCAGTGTTGCACTATCAAATGCAATTGAAGCGCCCCTATGCCAGGGTTTTTATGTTCCTGGTCAGGCTATATGGTGAAGTCAAAAAATTGATATCTTCATTTCAATTATTTTAATTTTCATACAAATCGAATTTTATAAAATTTATTTTGTATGAAAATAAAAAAAAATAAAATGATGATATCAAATTTCTGACCACTGTAAATCTGAGTGGAATAGGGAATAGACCACAGTCCTTCTGGCGCAGTCGGGTAAAAATATTGAGATTTTTTTTCTTTAGTAGAAATTTATTTTCTTTGATCTGGTATCATTACTTTTGTCAATGTCAAAATTATTGTCATTTTGACATTGACAGTAATATTTTTGTCGATTTTGTAAAATCGCAAAAATGTCCGTGGGCAAATTTTTAGCTTTAGACAAGTTAGGAAACTTCTTCAATATATTACGCCAAAATGGAGGGATCCGAGGGGTCTTGTTCAAACTCTACAGGTAATACGATACAACATTATTATGTAATTTCTTTGCAGGTTATGTTTTGAATGTTAAGATTTTATTTTTTCTCTTTCTCCTGCTACTATCAACAATTCAAACTATATTTAGTAAATTTCTAACAATTAAACTATCTACATGAAAGAAAAAAGTAGCCTGAGATGTTCGGTAGACCGATTTTTGACTAAAATATGTTTGTAGTCCAAACAATAGTTCTACATATTTACCTATCTCTGCAAATCAAAGATACAATAAACAGACACTTTTTCTATTTAAAACAATAGAAACGGTTAGTCCTGCTTCCTAATTGTGCTTTTAACATCACAAAATGCAATTGAGTGTAATAGAAACATACTATTTGGTCAGGGTTGTAGTTATCATACTTGTTTGGGTAATTCCAGACAAGACGAAGTGAAAGACGGTGTGCTGATCGGCGAGGACAAGCACGGCAACAAATACTTCGAGAACCCTCGCTTCTTCTACGGCAGGAACCGATGGGTGGAGTACAACGACAACTACCACATGAGCTACGATGCTAGCCAGGTAATAAATAATAAACTGTGTTATTCTCATTATTATGTTCACATTAAGAGCGCTTTCACATTTAGGCGATTTAGGAGCGCGAAAATCGCGCGGCAGACGCATTGCCGAAAATTTCATACTATGTGACAGCTGATGCCTCCCTTCACATAACAAAAACGCCGCTGCCGCGCTGCTGTCGCGCTTCTAACGCCCTAATGTGAAAGCGCTCTAAAAAGATTTAACCCCTCAGTTCACTTAGGAAAAACTTTTAATGACTTATTTTCTGTTAAGGTTGACTAGAAAAGTATGCCATATAACACTAAGTTCACCTGTAAAAAAAACTCATTTATTTTTGCAAATAGCAGCACTTTTACACATTTATTTATTTATTGAAAGACTTTATTGCACACACAACAATGTTCCGTACAAAAAGGCGAGCTTAATGCCATGAGCCATTCTCTACCAGCTGACCTTGAGCAAAACAGAGATATTGAGTAGGCGGTACATCCCAGTATTTTGTACTTTAATTGTTGTGTAATTTTTTAAATAAATAAAAAATATGTTATTGTTGTTGCTTATGTTCAAGTTGTATCTTCCTGCACATTTATGTACAATTTAATGCTGTTGAAACATTGTTAAACAAATAAATAAAATAAATAAATAAGTCTTTCTGTGAATAAATTATTTATTACTATTTATAAATCTTTTTAATTTTCTCTCATTAGTTCATGTTTTTTAACTACATCTTTCTGCACATGTATACCACTTAATACTGTTAAAATCATTGTTGAATAAATAAATTAAACTCTTGCTATAGGCATGTGGAAATCAAAATATTCAAGTTCTAAGTTAACTTTTCCATACTAATCGTATTTGAAACTTTACAGGTGCCCTCTGAATGGTATGGCTGGCTACACTACAAAACAGACCTGCCTCCACACCAGGTAAGATATTAAAACCATTCTACTATCTTTATCATCATTTTTCAGTCGTAAAGGCTTCCACAGACCAAACGCGGGGCAGTAGCAGCGCAGTTTGAATGCGGGCCCGCGCAAGTTGTAATACAAGAAACTCTTTGAAGTGTGTCACACCAAATTTGAACGCGGGCCCGCGCTCCAACCGCGCCGCACTGCAACTGCCGAACGACAAACGAGGCGGCGCGGGTGCGGGACAGAAGCGGCGCGAACGCGGGCCCGCGCTGTTGTGTTACTATGGCGGCCATATTAGCATGACACATCGGACGCAGGGCGGTAGCAGCGCGTTGAAAGCGGTTTTCGAATATTTAAATTTTTGAGAACCGCCCGCGTTGCAACTGCTTTGAAACTGCGCTGCTTTCATTGTGCCTCAACTGACCCGCATTGTTTCTGACCTGCGTTTGGTCTGTAGAAGCCTTTAGACGTCAATTGCTGCACATAGGCTTCCCCAAAGGCTGCGCATCCAGGCCCTTCCCGCGATCTTCACCAGATCGTCGGTCCATGGAGTGAAAGACCCGCCTAAACTACGGCTTCCTATCCATGGTCACCACTCTAGAACTGTTGAGCTCCAACAGCCATAATTTCTACGAGCAATGTGTCCTGTTCACTGTTACACTGTACTTACGTACCATTGTACGTTCGTTTTAGCCGATAGACGTCTATGGCTGGACAAAGACCTCCTCCAAGGATTTCCACAAAGACCGGTCCTGCGCCGCTCGCATCCAGGCACCTCCCGCGACCTTCACCAGATCGTCGGTCCACCTAGTGGGAGGCCTGTCCACGCTACGTCTTCCGGCTCGTGGCCGCCACTCAAGAACTTTCCTGCCCCAGCGGCCATCAGCTCTACGAGCTATGTGCCCCGCCCACTGCCACTTGATTTTAACGATTCTGCGGGCTATGTCAGTCACTCTGGTTCTCCTACGGATCTCCTCATTTCTGATTCGACCACGCAGGGAAACTCCGAGCATAGCCCGCTCCATTGTCCTTTGGGTGACCTTGAGCCTTCTTATGAGGCCCATAGTAAGCGACCACGTCTCAGATCCGTATACCATCACAGGCGACACTCACTGGTCAAAAACTTGACTTGAGACACTGCGGTATTTTGGACGTGAGAATATCATGAAGCTTCCCGAACACTGCCCAGTCGAGTAGGATTCGACAATTAACCGCTATACGTACCATACATAGAAGGAAATACAAACCGATGACGTCACTACATTGTCAAAACTCCACCACCAAAGTGCGGGATTCGAACCCGCGTTCCTCGGATCTCGAGTCCAATCCTTTCACCTTTGGACTGTTGTCGCTTCAACTCCAATCTCCATTGTCTAAGTATTCATTTATACTTCTTTCCAGGATCCCAGTCGCCCAAAGTACAAATGGATGATCGATGGAAACGAGAACCTGTCAGGCACCATGGGTCAATACACCCCATACACCACCACAAGGCCCAAAGTTGAGCCCTGGGTGCCTAAAAAGGCCCAGTAAGTGGTCCATAGATCCTGAAGAGAACAGCAAAAATATTCAACAAGATGTAAATTGACAGCCAGTTTTATTTCAATTAAATCATCCAGATACATTTACAGTGAAATATCAAGTTGATAAAATCGATGTTTAGTTTTAAGTAGAAAATGAATAAAGATATTTATGAAATGTTATTTGTTTGATTTTGAACAGCATAAAGGTCATAACACACTTATTAACCCAGAAATGGATCGACACCGTATCGCCGCAAGGCGAGGCGTTTACGTTACGGTGCGGATAATGCGTTGCAGTACGGAGTTTGGTACAAAGAATATTGACCGCCTCGAGTTGATATGGTTACGATCCGTTTCCGGATTAATAAGTGTGCTTCGTCCTTAAAGCATTGTTGTATTTCGGTAGTTAGAGGTAAGGTAGTCAGTTCCTCTGTGGTTGAGGATTCCGGGTGAAGCTCGCTTCCAACTTCGGCCTGATCATCACTCTCCATTGGGTGAGATGCGGGCCAAGAGCTTGCCCTTTGTGGTTCATCATCATCATTTCAGCCATAGGACGTCCACTGCTGAACATAGGCCTCCCCTAATGCTTTCCACGTTGATCGATTGGTAGCGGCCTGCGTCCAGCGCTTCCCTGCTACCTTTACGATGTCGTCGGTCCACCTTGTAGGTGGACGTCCCACGCTGCGTTTTCCGGTACGCGGCCTCCACTCCAGAACCTTGCTGCCCCATCGGCCGTCAGTTCTGCGTATTATGTGCCCTGCCCATTGCCACTTCAGCTTGCTAAACCTTTGTGGTTAAAACAAAATATTAAAAGTACGCGGGTCTTTCTTTCCGCGGTCGAATTAGTGCCAGTGCCCCAAGTAACATTTTACTCCATTTAAGAGTTCACATTTAGTTCCAATGTGTACTTAAAGCATTAGTACAGTTCACTCGTGATGTATAAGCTGTATTATTGCAATTAATTACACCTATACCTGTCTAAGGGACTTATAGGAGTGTAGACTAGTGTAGAGTTATACTTTTATACGATTGTTGGTGTTATAATACTCTAACAACTATCCTTTAGTCAGCCGTCTGACTAAGAGCATTATAGGAGGGTAGAGATACGGCAACCGCTGTTTAACGGCCTACTTGTACGATGTTATAGAGCTAGCATTTTAATAGAACACACGTGGTCATTTATAAAGCCAAAGGCTGTTATGTTTACTTGTTTTAGACTGTTATACAGCTAGTAGCTGTAGTAGGACTTGTTTGTGTTAATAAAATAACCTTTTTTTACTATCTGTACAAAAGTGTTTCAATGGTTCGCATGTGCACTGTAGGCTGTTAAAAGGACTATATGTGTTGTCCATTAACATCAATAGCAGTTTATTTGTCCACAAGTACTACTCTTATTTGCTTTAAGCTGAAAATGAATGTGAATGTGATATTCTATTACACTTTTCCCCAAGCCTGTTTTTAGTTGTATTTATGGTGGTTCTGTACATGATGCAGAGGAAAATATTATGCCTGAACCTGAAAGTTCCCTTCAAAATATACAGATATCAGAGTGTGATGATTGCAGTTCTAGTGATAGTGAATACAATTTTGATTTAGACAATTATTTAACCTTTAGCAAAAAAATAAGAACATGGGCTATTGAAAATCGTATTCCTCATTCCGCTTTGAATAAATTGTCAGGCATAATAAACGAATTTAAACCGGGAACACTACCGTCTGATGCTTTAGGTATTCATACTTGACTATTAGTACCTGGGCTAGGCGATTTAACGGACATTAATAATTTTTATTGCGGATCTCTAAAATTTCAGTATTTGAAAGAATTAAAGATACACAATTGACCTGAACTAGGTACATCTTAAAGCTGTACATAAGTTCACATTAGAATAAATTTATAGACATTAGCGCTGTAGTGGTACAAATGTGGAACTTAATATAGATAACAGCATTCTAACAGAACACATGTGAACCTAATATACGCTCACCGCATTAAATTGGAGTTATAACAGTTCACATAGCCGTATTTCATTTCCACCATTTTGTTCTACATAACCTAAAATATTTACCAAATAAATCTCCAAAATTAATGCAGATTTATCACAAAATTCGCAGATAGAGCTATTGAGTTTTGGTTTCATGTTATAATTAATTACCGTAGTATAATTATAATGCCAATACAATATCAAAAACTGAAAATTGTAGATTTCCTCTCAGCCAGTTTTAAATATTTTAAAATGAATATCGCGTTTTTACAGAGGCAGTTTTTACGTAAATATTTTAGCTGTAAATATGTATACATTTCACGATAAAGTTGCATTCCCAATGGCATTAACATTATTAAGTATTTAAAACCCGTGTTATTATTTGCATAAATGATTATATTATCCGCCCGAGTTGTTTCCTCTTGGCACTCACGTACAAATACCAAACTAATATTAAAATGTGGAAATAATTTAGGACACACGTGAACTTTATGTAGCATTGGAGTACTTTTGTCGGACTTTATAACTTTGAAAGCTGTGCATTTAGCCACTTTATTGTCCTCACGTACGTTGTATGGTTCACACTGCGTCCCATATAGTGCCGTAAGTCAGCCTTAAGTACGATGTTACTATTTAAACTGCTATTATAATGCTATTATACTGCTAATGTACAGCCATAGTGAACTTAAAGCTGTCTAATTTGTGCCCAAACTGGTTATATAAAAGCATTATAGCAAGCTATACAGCTCGTATACAGCTGACATACACAGCTTGTGGAGTACATGTGAACGACTATTGAACTCTTAAATGGAGTAAAATGTTACTTGGGAGTGATGGGATGTAAATACCTACTACCTATAGATTTTATGGACGCTTTTATTTCTTATATTTATAACTCTTACTGTATCCCATAGCTGGGCAAAGTCCCAAAGACTTATTTCCAGGCGAAAGTATGAAATATGCAGGTAGACACTACAAGTTCTCCGTTATTCAATCACTAGATAAGTAACCCAGTTATAATTCCATACGTAATAGGTACGTTCAAAATCTGTTATAGGTATCTCTCCTTCCGTACCGATTGTACTTACCAACCTAAAAGTCGCTTATTTTCTGAAAATATGCTTCTGAAAGCGTTTTTACTCGTCCCAGTAAAAAATATTTTAACTCTACCACTGCTTCGGGACATCAAATGGGCCAGTGCTGAGAAGTAGCGCTGAAAAAGAAACTCAGTCACTAAAAAGTTCTTATTTTCTGTCGATAAGTAGGTACCTAGGCTTATAAAAAAGCGTTTAATTACACGTCCCAGTAAGAATTATTTTAATCTTACCACAGCCTCGGGACAATAAATAGGCCAGTGTTAAGCAGCACTAAAAAAGATTCAGCAAGTAACAAGGTACTTAGTTCTGAGAAGAAGCAGCGCTAGAAACTCAGTAACAACTAACAAGGTAGGTACTTTATTCTAACGGCAGGTGTAACCCACAATACCCGAAATGTAGAATCACTGCTAGCAATCCAAAATGAGACAATTCATAACCGAGCCTGTTATTATTTTAACTCGTGCAAACCAGTTTGGGGCCTGGGTCCTGGGCAGTGGTGCTCAAAGTTTTAGGAGAGCTTTCGTGGATGTAAAAAACTTATTCGATAGCACTCTACATTTTTATGGTCAGGGATTTGCAAGCTACTTATTTGACAACACCTTTATTCATCATCGTCATTTCAGCCATAGGACGTCCACTGCTGAACATAGGCCTCCCCCAATGATTTTCAGATTGGCCGGTTGGTAGCGGCCTGCATCTAGCGCCTTCCTGTTACCCTGTTATTATGTAGGTATAATTTTTAATTATTACTACTTGCTTATGTAGATACGTACAGAACTGGTCCCAAATTATATGACCTCCTATGTTCAAACTACTAAGCTTTGGAAAATCACTCTTATTCATTTTCAACCCTTTTTTGAAGAGAAGGAGTTAAAAAGTTGCGTCATTTAAGCTTTAAAAAAACTTGTACACAAAATCATTTGTACCTACTTCGATTTTGTGTGCAGCGAACTTAATGCCTCATGTATAGCATTCTCTACCAGTTACTTAGATTTCGAATCGGCTTATTGTCACCTAATCTTAATTATGTAGATGGAATTAGTTTAATTGTCGCTAATTTGGCAATTTACTAATTGGCTATATTAAAGTTAATTAAAACTTTAATCAAATAGTTCAAAAGTTTAAGAAACTCATGCTTCGACCAACTGCCCACGAACGCAGTCGACGCTACGCAAAGCTCTCCTCGTGTTCAATCGTAAATAAACCTTAAAGTAAAACCATAAGATTCAAAACCATATAACCGCCTCTCCATCGAAACTTACACTAATGCAATTCAGCCACCGCATTCAATATTAACCATTATTTACATGGTTTTGAGTCGAAAATAGATTGTGATAAAAGTTGAGCTTAACTGAACTTTTTGCCTTAGCAGGTAAAAATATCTTGGGGCTCACTTCAACTCAGTGAAGACGCGTCGCGGTACCACTCGAACGTGTTTGCAACTAATTAAAAGTTACTTTAGTGTTTTCTACTATATTGAACATTGGAAAAGTGAAATAATCTGTCAAAATGTGCGACGTAATTTGTTGTGATCTGTGTTGCGGCCGATAAGCCAATCGCAAAATGTGTGTGATTCTGAGAAAAGAAGGAGTTGGTTTCGTGCAGAATGGTTTTGGAGTGATCTAAAACAGGATTTTCGATTTATGGTGAGTTTCAAACCTTTTTGGTACTTTGCCTAGCGATTTTGTTGAATTTTCGGTATTATTTTGAAGTTACTTTTAAAGCGGCCGACGAACAAAGGCTACTCAAACTAGTTTTTGAAAGTAGAAGTTTTTAGGCTGTATTTCGTTTAGAGCCGTTGAGAAAGGATCGTGGCATTTTTTTGTTACGAAAAAAAGTTTGCGTGGGCCACACCGGGTGTAAAGTAGTGTTGGGACGCACAATTTTGGGATATCGATAAAGTTACAGATTATTTTGTCAGTTATTTTTGATTTTAAAAAATTTAGAACTATTTTTACGACTTTTTTTTAATGAAAATACTAAACAAAAAGTATTTACTGAATAATCTAGTGTTGATGTAAATTACGTATTTATTTAAGGACAAGGAAGGAACTCAACAAGAAGCTTATCTATGGCTGATCTTAAATTAGTTTATGTGAACGTGAGTAAAACGTTATAGGTTGTGACGGTAGTTATTATGCACTATTAATTAACATTTCTATGTAAAATTCAGTAGAAGGAAGGTTAAGAACAGGATAGAGCAAGTGGTACGGTACCCATTTTATTGTTGAATAATTTATGTTATGTAGTAAATCTCTAGTTAAACGATTTACGCCCGTATTTACAAACATTACTATGAGGTCTCACAGTGCGGGTGGACACACAGGGTGACACGAACGAAAAACACAGAGCTCTATTCAACGCTGTGCGTTCGATTTTCTGCTTCACTTAAGCAAGCATTGTTTGATACATAATAACATAATTTAAGATAGCGTTACATAATTTAAGAGCGTTTCTTACGTAGGTATCCTATTATTAGATATTTTCTTTTATACGCTAAGTAAAGCGTATAAAAGAAGTAAAGTCCTTTTTAGTAAAACAAAACATCTTCACGATAAACCAAATAAAATAAGTTTTTCTGTGAACATCAGGCCTCCCCAACCCGTCTGGCCAGCGCCAGCGTGGGGAGTGTAGGCCAAAACCTCCATTTGCCTCTGGTAAAATAAAGATCGTCGTGCTCCAAAGTGGAGACCAAACGACCTGATGATAAGTTTAAAATATTAGAACACACTCTAAGAGTAGGCACACACCGTTGATTTTTCGTCGGCCGATAGTTTAGTCGGGCAGTTGATCAGTATGGGCTAGGGTTACCAACTTTTTTTAGAAGAAATAAAGTATATCTGGTTTTAAAGGAGGTAAATAAAGAGTACGGACTTACAAAAAAGAGTATCATTTATTTTGTACTTTTAAAAAGGTATTTTTTTGTACTTTTTGCAGCACAACGAATCAGGAACATTCGAATATGGTTCGGGGAATCGGCGATACCAACATTTTAATTTTAACAGTAAATAGTAGACTTTTCAGGGTTCCGTATTCCTGACAAGGAACCCTTATAGTTTCGATATGTCTGTCTGTCTGTTCGAGGTTTTGCTTGGAAACTATTGGCACTAGAGAGCTGTAATTTTGTGGAGGTATGTATATTAATCACGCCGACATAACGGTAAAATAAAATTTAAAAGTATTTTTTGGTTAGCTCCCGTAAAGTGGGGATGATTTTTTTTTCATCTTCTACCCCATCGTGTGGGGTATCGTTGGATAGGTCTTTTAAAATAGCTTAGGGGTTTCTAAGACTATTTTTCCATTTAGAGATCTGTTTGCAAATTATTAGTTTAAAAATGCCAATTTTTGTTCGAGTAGGGCGTGACTCTACTCTACTCCCCCCCCTCTAAAAACTAAACTGTTGGCTTGAAAAATCTGGAAAAAATTGTAATAATACTGCTTTTCATGAACTTTCATGGAAAACTATAACGGTTAAGATACATCACTTAGTTTAAGAGTAATAGTCATTTGAAATATGAAAAGTGGTAACGATGGACAACTACGGAACCCTACAGTCTACACTGCGCGTGGCACGACACGCACTTGGCCAATTATTTATTTTAATTATTATGGATTTTTGCATATTATTACAGACGTGCACTAGTTTAGTAAACATTTTGTAAAAAAGAGTATTTTAGCGTACTCTATTAGTGTTATAGATTATAGAGTACGCCTACATGATATAGAGGACAATACTCTATTTTAGAGTACGGTTGGCAACCCTAGTATGGGCATGTATGGGAGTGCGCACACTACGCCGATACGATTTGGCCGATTCTTCATACAATTTAATATCGGGCACAACTCTGTACCCCCAGTGAAAACGGAGTTAAGTCGAAAATGGTGATTTTTGGGAAATCGCATTTGAAGTTAAAAAAAATCCTGCTTCGTCGCTATTAGAGATAACTTGGTGAAATATTTTTTAGGTGAAAGGTAATGTTAGATATAATTAGGCAGTGTGCCAGTTTGGGAAATATAGCATGTAGTTTTTTCGTAATTAAATAAAAACCCAGTTATATCGCCATGCACGGCAACTTTACATTCGTGTAAAGTGATGTAATGGGACATAAATCATTTTACACCACACTGAATTGACCACCCGCTAACAAGTGTAAAGTGATACATTTTACGCCATTTCTGTTGATATTTTTTTGTTTCTTTAATTTTAGAAAAAGTTGTAAAACAAACATTAGTAATTACACTATGAGGAATCATTATTTCAGGTTATTTAGGGTAAATCGTCCAAAAATTTCTACTTATATCAATATACACCAATTTTGTGATGAGAAAAAAAATGTGTAAACTGATCTAACTAACATAATAGCGATCTAAGTATCCTAATAATTATGTGTAAAGTGATATAAGTGGCGATTGTAAAGGAATAAGGCTAGAATTTTAGAGTGGATTCTAATTATTTACTCCTTAAATGTTTATTCTGATCTGAAACTACTATTTTATTAATTATTACACCATATACCATGAATGATATCGGCCTAAATCACATACATTATCTCCTATTTTAAAGTAAGTATTAGTTGAAGCAATTGGGTAATAAAGACCAGAAACAACAATGGTTTCACATCAACTAATTAGACAGGAGACAGAGAAAAGTTTGTTTTCTACAATTACCTTATTGGGAATCAAACTCTGGACCAGAGATGATGATGTCAAGCTATATTGATTGCTTTTTGGCTACAGAAGGATAATATAAAAGTAAAGTCATAAAATGCATTTGTTTTCAACAAAGAGGCTTTTAAAAAGCCCTTTAACACGTCCTAGTATCACTTGAACCCTACTTTTATTTTGGGACATAAATAGGTCAGTGCTGAGAAGAAGCAGCGCAAGATATTTAGCCACCCTTGTCAGCCTCTTCTTAAATCATAAATAACTTGAAAAAATCGAACTGCCTAAGACGGGAATCTTCTTAAATCAATAGAGACATGATTAACAAGACATGTTATACTTGCGAGCTAAGCAGATAAAGTCCAGCAACACATGCCATTTACATAATTATTTACTTTATACATAGTATCCATTCATAAGGACTTACGTAGTTAGTTTTGCAGGGCAATCGAATATTGCACTTAACCTTTTGATTAGACCATTGTGCGCTATTTGATCTTCCTATTCCAACCGCTCCAGATCCCCCCAGGTAGCAGCAGCCTATCTAGGTCTCTACAGGCCTTCTGCAGCGACCCTGGTGATTGGAGAATTTGAGCCTGTTGATCTGCTACGCTTCTGCACTCCTTGTGCACGTGCTGTGGTTTTTCTTCTGCCTCCATGCATCTTCTGCACATCAGGCTGTCTGTACAGCTATACTGTGTAGGTGTTTGTTTAACATACCTGTTATTACACTTAGGACCTTGCGGATGTTGTCCCTGTTAAGTCTTATGAGTCTTTAACTTTTTCGATATAATATCCACAACTGCATCTTTTGTTTGCCTACATCTTTCACAATCTTTCCATTCTGTGTGGTGTTATTTTTCTATTTTGGAGCGCAGCCAGGTCTTGATCTGTGCTTATGGTATCGGCATTATAATTGTTCCGGACCAAATACCGTCGTGTACGATCCCCTTCTGGCCAGTTCATCTGCTGCGTCGTTGCCCAAGGAGTTACTGTGTCCTTTGATCCACTTCAGGAGTGCAGGGTAACGCCATTTGCATCTGCAATGACTTAGGAGCGCGTCATGGCATTCCAATATAAGTATTATAATGTAGTATATTAAGTTGCTTTGTATTGCTTGCACTATCTGAGATTATTTTTATATTCAGACCTCGGATGTCTATGGTTGCAACCGCCTGTGCTGCTCTGATTGCAATCTGCTTGGAAAATTGTATTGTGTTTATCAAGTGTTGTTGATATTCTTAGTATATTTAGGTAATTCGAGAAGACACCAGCTCCCGTACCTTTTTGGGTTTTGGAGCCGTCAGTGTAATATCCTAACTTCATTGATTCCAGAGCAATCTTGCGTTTCCGCTGTAAGCTGGATATTATATCTTCAGTCGAAGAGTGAACACAGGGAATTCTGCCGATAGGTGCCTCGGTGAGAGGTATTTCTTTTATTAGGGTTTTGTGCAGGATCGTGGAATGTCCTGTCTCCTTGTTTTGCTTCTATATGCCGTTCTTACCTTTAAGTCTTAGAGCGGCTGCTTGCGCTTCCTCCTGAATGATGAGGTCTAAAGATCTGAGATTCAGAAGGTACTCAAGTGATGTCGATGGAGTGGTTCTCATACAACTAGTGGCCGCTATGCTTACTAGGCGTTGCAGGCTTTGGAGTTTTGATCTTGCTGTTGATAGTTGTGTTCTGTGCCACCACACAAGTGATCTATAATATTTTGTGTAAGAGGGCCATATAACCGACGTGTAGAGCCAGTGTTATCTTTGGGTTGAGACCTCATCTACTACCAATGAGTCTCTTGCACTGATGGAATGCTATACAGGCCATTTTTATTTTGTTCTCGACATGACTCGCCCAGTTCAATTTATTGTCTAAGGTGATGAGTTTTGTTTATAAAGAGTTCTGGTAGTTGGAGCTCTTGTAAATTCTATAATGCACTTATTAAGTACTTTTATTGACAACGTTAGGCACTATGAATTCAATTATATG